TTATTTTTAGAAACCTAAAACCTTATTAGAAGGAAGTGTTCTCTTCTTCACCTTTTATTTCTATACTAGTAAATAGTACAAGGCTTCTCTCTCAGATAGCAGGTGGTGGTTTTGGAAATACAAACGGGGTTCTTCAAGTCCTCCACCCTCTCTTCTACCCAAAGGAATTGAGATTCTTTAGCTAGATTTCCTGACTTAGTAGCTGCATAAAAAATTGAAGATTGCTGCTCACCAGTTTAATTAGAATTGAAGTCAAGATTCTCAGAGACTTCCTGATGTTCTGCTGTACATGCAGCTTCTTTCCAGAAGCAATTCAAATGTCTCTTCCTCCATGCAGCCTTCCCTGATTTCTCTCCCTTTGAAATCTCTCCTTTAAGCTAGAGTTAATATTTCTCTGAATCTCTAAAATTTCAACTATACCTACTGTTTCCTACCTGATATTGGAATTTGTTGTGTGTATCCCATCGTAGTTCTAGCAGTTTTCAAATACTATTCAGGCAGGATAGTGCCAAGTTCTTCTTTGCATCATTTGCAGTGCCCTGCATATAGAAGATGCAAAGTAGATGATTGTCAGTAAATGGGTTTACTGACACAGCATCAACAAGGCCAGCTCTGCCAGTTTGGGTGTCTTAGCTGTGAGTAAGAGAAAATTTGACTAACGGTGCCTGAACTAGTAAGAGCATGGAATTTTATCCTAATGCAGAAAATCTGGAGGTCAGTAGCCCCAAGCAGGTCTATCCACTCAGCAATGTCAGGCTCTGAGTCACCGTTTTTATGCTCCTGTAGGCCTTGCTTCCTAATCACAAAATAGCGACCACAGCTCTAGGCACTGGTCTCCCCTTTTATTATGTCTCATTGACCAGAATAGGTCACATGACTGATCTTCCGGTGAAAGAGAAGGCAGTTGCCACCAGTTTAACCTAGTCTGGGCTCAGTGCTGCCTTTACCTGGCTTTCCTGAGCAGAGGAGTGATGGCTGCTGGTTGGACAACCAACCACGTCTTTGCCCAGGCTTTGCTGACACTTGCATGCCAAGGAAATAGGGAGAGCTGGAGAAGTTTCTCTTACCCCAAGGCTAGATTCCTGGTAAGGAGACAGGTCTACATTTTAGAACACTTTAGCCTTCTGTGGGTATTAAAAATGAATCACCACCCCATAGATTTGGACCATGCTCAGTTTACAAAAGATTTTCATACTTTGATAGACAGGATCACCAAGTGTTTAAGATCACAGAGACAGAGGCCTGCTTCACCATGTTCTTGGTGGGTGACCTTGTGCAGTTTACTTAACCTCTCTGTGCCTCAGTTTCTCATCTGTAAAAAGGGAATCGTGACAGGCTGTGTGCCATAGGGGGGTTTCTAAGATTGATTTACATATATGAATACACCTCATTTACAATGGGGCTTGGCACACCGGAAGCACTCCTTAATTTGCAATTATTAATTGTTATTATTTATTCATTGCTTTCAGAAGAAGGGAGAAAGAAAGAGATAGAAGCATCAGTGATGAGAATCATTGATTGGCTGCCTCCTGCCCGTCTCCCACTAGAGATTGAGCCTGCAACCCTGGCATGCGCCCCGACCAGGAATCAAACCAGGACCTCCTGGTTCATAGGTCAACGCTCAACCACTGAACAGCACCGATCTGGCTGCTTGTTCTCACTTAGGAATCCCGTCACTCCTTGGAGAAAGGAACAAGGAGAATTGTAAGGCTGGAAGGAATGGGCCGGGGGCAGGCTGCCTCTGGGGGGGCCTCAGCCCCTGACTTTGCCCAGATTCTTGGTGACTCTGACTGAGGGTGCTCGAGCTGCACCTGGTGGCTGAATGTTGATTCACAGGTGATGCTTTACTTCTCAAATAAAATGTGAACTATCCTCTGAGAACAAGCACTGCCTTAAGTCCCTCCCACACTCACCCCCTAGCAGCGGGGAGGGTACAGGAAAGACTCTGGTTCTGGGTCTGGAAGGGGAGCTGGAGAGCTGGCTCTCAGGGCCGGGTGGGGTGCAGTGGCGGGGCCCACTCTGAGCCTGACTACACACACGCTTCAGGAAACTGCTGTTGAACAATAAGTGTTAACAGCGTGAGAAATGAGCACAAATCCATTTGTGTCTGCATTTACTCTCAGAATTCCCTGTGGACTCTATACACTGTCATCTTCCCTATTTCCCCATCCAGCTGTGGAGATAGCGCAGGGTCTCGTTATTTTACATCCAGTTAAGATTTCTTTTCCTTTTGGTTATGTTTTTAAGAACATTTATTGCCTACAAAGCGGTGTTTTTGTTAAAGACAGTAGTGCCCTTTAGGTAGTCACGCAGCGTTATTTCACAAATACCCATAAAACTGTTCAAGGGCTGGGCTTGCTGGAGCTCTGATCACAGGTGTTCCATTCTCCTTTATCTCTGGAGGCCTGTGAAATAGCTTCACCACCCCCACCTTCCCTGTGCGGAGCCCACGGGAGGCGGACACTGGGAGACATGGACAAGTCGGCACAGACCTTAGAGGGCAAGCCTCGCATTTACCCTGCCGCCCCCTCCGAACCCCCGTTAGTGCTGGGATCTAGTGTAGGACCTCACTCACAGCCTCAGCCAGCACGGGGTCCCTGGGGGCTACAGGTGGGAGCAGCAGAGTGAGGGAGGAGGAGGGGAGGCCTGGGGACCTGCCACTCAGTGGTTCATGGCACCAACTCCTGGCTCTGCCACTTATGAGCTGTGTCCCTGGCACAAGGCACTTGGCCCCTCCGTGCCTTCGTTTCCTCACTCTAAAATGAGGATGGGGGTGAGGATTATACAATAACATCTCCCCCAGGATTTTACGATTTTAAAAAAGAACATCTTGAGATGCACTTTGCAGGTTGTCTGGCCCAGAGGCCTCAGTAATGTTGCTAAACAAGGAGGCAAGGCTGCAGACTCCGGTCTGAGGCTTCGCCATGTCAGTTCCTTACAGAAAGCCCGCCCGATTGCCAGCTGTCCTTCCGCTAGGCGCTGCCTGCCTGCTCTCCGGCCCAGCACTTTGGGCTTTGTGAACAGAGAGGTGTTCTCCATACGCTCCCAGGGGTGACAGGCCCAAACATGGATGTGTTCTGAGAACAGGCAAGAGAGCAACCCTGGTCCAGGAGGAACTCACACAGGCCGGCTGAGCTCACCGCCAAACCTCAGAGCGCAGAGCCGCTGACTCAGTCCCGACTCACGTGGTTAGGACTGGGCCGAAGTGTACCGTTGCATAATAGGGAACAGGATTGTAGGGGTGAGACTTATAGGCAGTGATGAGAAGACACACTCCTGAGAACCGCCTCAGAGTTCAGAAGCCCCTTGTCCATGTCATTGGTCCACAAGCCGTATCATCCCAAGCACCCCTGAGCCAGGTATTGCTCATGGTGCTCATGGTTCATTCAGTCCATCGTCACAGGAACCCTGGGAGGCGCGGACCATTGTTGTCCTCACGTTGCTGGTGACGAAACAGCTGCAGAGAGGTTACCAGCTGGTTAGGGCGGGGCTGGCCCCAGGCGGCTGGCCCCAGAGCAAGGTGTTTGCTTGCTGGCAGCATCCTCCTTCCTCCAACAGACCCTGAGCTCGCAGTCAGAGTCCTGTGTGCGCAGCCACTCTCTGTTTCCAATGCCAATAGTAATAATTGCAATAAGTTACATGAAATGACTTATCCCTGTTATTATTACCCTCCAGCAGCATGGCCCTATGTCAGGCCCTTGACATGCATTATCGCATTTAATCTTCATAACAACAGTACCTAGAAGGCAGGTACTGTTATTATACACACTTGAAAGTTGTTAAGTCTAAGGATCCCCATTCTCATTTGTGTTTTCATTTTTTTAAAACATTTTCAACAGTTAACCATTTTATATTCCCTCATCACAGCCAGGCTCAGAAATGCTAAATAGGTGTGCATTTCACACCCTATCCAGGTCTTTTGACCCCTGGATTACCAAGGTGCCTTTGGCTCTAAGCTGTATGCTATGCCGATTATACAATACCCTTAGCACATCCATGACTCAGTTTCCCCAAGGATCCGCAGTAAATAAACTTTGTTGTTTTTTATATGTCCAATTGTTCTTAAACAAAGTAAACCTGAAATTGCTCTTCGATTAGATTGAAAACATTCCTGGCTTGATGTTTGCACACATTCACAAAGGCCTTCCTTCCCCCATGCGTCTGAGTCTTTTTTCTTTTAATATATTTGTATTGATCTCAGAGGAAGGGAGAGGGAGATATAGAAACATCAGTGATGAGAGAAAATCATTGATTAACTGCCTCCTGCATGCCCCACCCTGGGGATCAAGCCCCAGCCCAGGCATGTGCCCTGACTGGGAATTGAACCGTGACCTCCCGGTTCATAGGTGGACGCTCAACCACTGAGCCAAGCAGTTCGTCTGATTCCTCCTGCACTGGGAGAATGCTAACTGACAACATGTTAAGGAATTGCCCTGAAATGTAAAGTAATTAATGCCCGGCTATAGCACAGGGTGGGCATCTCAGTGTTTTAATGAGGGCTCGGGAAACAGTCTGGAGGGGGCGATGAGTGCTACCATAATTAATGCTGCACATTATAAAGTGACCTCTTCCCCCTGGGCAATACAGGGACTGTGCAACCTTTCCTGCCATCTGCACCTTCACTCCTGGGACTCTGTGGGTCTGTTAATAAGAAGATAATCACCAGTCAGCCCTCATCTACTATGGAAACAAGTTTTTAAATTTATTTTTGAGGATGAAATTAGAAATCACCATTTTTAGAATATTTATGGGTATATATAGTTTACTCTCAGATATATGTATTCAATACATGCTCTAAATGAGAGTTTTAACTTCATTTTCCTTTTCATTATCCCTGAAAAGAATGGATTATGGGGAAATGGTTAAAATATAATGCAGTGTGGTGGCTGCTAATGTGCCATCGGCTGTATTGGTAGGACTCGCCAAGCTTGTGTCTTTTAGGAGTGCCTTTCAGATGGCAGCTATCTAACGGACTTGAAACCCTGTTTATACTCTCGCAGGCGTTAAACGTCGTCTTTGAAAAGATCCCGGAAAACGACAGTGCAGATGTCTGTCGGAATATTTCAGTCAATGTTCTTGACTGTGATACTATCGGCCAAGCCAAAGAAAAGATTTTCCAAGCATTCCTCAGCAAAAACGGCTCTCCGTATGGACTTCAGCTGAATGAGATTTGTCTTGGTAAGACGATGCGGGACTGTTTGTCCCAGGCCCCCGGTGAGCACCCTGCGCCCCACCTCGCTCCCTGCCCCCAGCTGAAAGCTTCCATCCACCGACACTTATCTGGCCTGTTGTCTCCGGAGGGCACTTCCAGGACCCCAAAACTGGGATGCTCTCCGACTGCATCCTGATTCTTCCTGGAACAGCAATCCCTCAGAGACGCTGGTGTTTTAAATATTAGGTTTGTATGTCAGATTCACGAGATTGCTACCCTGAGACCGAATGGGTTCACCTTGCGTCAGGAAGTACAACAAGGTGTGAACCCCGTGCCCTCCCTGTGTCTGCACCGTGTTTCCTGTTGGCATTTGATTTGTTTGTTTGATACCGAGTGTGTCATTAGCGGGGGGCTCAGCCTCGGGGTGCTGGCTCCAGCGCGTAGAAAGGTCATCTTCCTCTCTGCTAATCTGGTCCTGCTCTGAGTGCCTCCCCCGCCCTCCCCAGTGCCAGCAGCATCTGCTGTGAGTTCCTCTCTGGGCTCTATTGGTACACTGCAAAGAAGAACATATGCGTGAGGGGGCTAGCAGGGCTCCGCTTCACTCCAATGTTCATCAACATTGTAACGCGGAGCTGCACGCAGCCCTGGTGGGAGGCTGCCATGGGATTTTATCGCAGATAATGGGACAGGAGAGGAGAGTGAAATCACTGCGGTGACAGACAGCCTAGTAAGGTTCCTCTCCCCTCCGTGCGCAGTTGTAGCCGCGACTAAGCAAGCAATTAAAGCCATCCTCACCCCCGCCCTCCCAGTCAGACCTGCTAACAGACAGACCATTGAGAGAGCCCGGGGCAGGGTCTGCAGATTTGAATGAAACAGGTAAACGTGTAGCCACCACGTGACCCGGCTGTGAAGGAAGCAGGGTCCAGAGGCACCTCTCTGCCTCCCTCCTTTTGGCTGTCGTTGGGTGGACTGTTGGGCACTTGAAGACCTATTAAGCCCATTGGTTAAGGGCAGGATCAAAGGGCAGCTCAGCCAGGAAATGGGACCAGGACATCAGCATCCTCACCCTGAGCCTACATCCTCTCCCATGAGTGGCCCCGACTGCAGAGATGACACAGGAGCCAGGTGGTGGTGGGCCTCCCATGGTCCCGGCTCCGCGCCCACCCGGTGCTCCTGGCTCCTGATGGGGGAGGCAGGGAGCAGGACAAGCTTTCGTCTGGTGGGAATGGGACTCCACGGCAGCAGCGGGCTCTGTGAGGCCGCTGGTCTCCCTGCTCCGGGGCTGGCCCCGAACACTGAGCAGAGCCTGAGGGGCCAGCCCTGAGAGCATATTGGAAGCAGTGAGGCTCAGGCCCCATTCAGTGACTTAACTTGTACAACCACTCTCCCTGAAGCTGTTCCTCTGGGGTTCGGCTCACAAACTCAGATGCTCAAGGGCAGGAAGTATACGGTGGACCTGCCTGCCTGCTTGGGACAACAGGAAATGGTGGGGCCTGGCCTAAGGGGGAAAGACAGGCCGTCTAGGGGACAGTGCCACTTAGCTGCCACCGATGGTGGGCCTACAGGGTTTGTGTTGCCAGATGGTCCCGTTTTTTAAGAGAGAAAGCAGAGTCCAAATTTTTTTTTTTAAATATATGCTATTGATTTTTACAGAGAGGAAGGGAGAGGGATAGAGAGTTAGAAACATCGATGAGAGAGAAACATGGATCAGCTGCCTCCTGCACACCCCCTACTGGGGATGTGCCCTCAACCAAGGTACATGCCCTTGACCGAAATCGAACCTGGGACCCTTTAGTCTGCAGACCGACTATCCACTGAGCCAAACTGGCTAGGGCCAGATTCCAAATTTTTATGTGCAACATCCCAGACATTAATGTTGGTGCTGAATTGACATTAAAATAATAAGTAAAACATAAAGCATGTTCACAAAAAGAGAAAACACACATTTGTGGGCCACATTCTGATCCCATGGCACAATTTGGCAGCTCCCTGATGGTGTTTGAGCCCTGAGTTTTGGGGCATTAGCCCAGCAGCACCCCCACCCAGGGCCTACAGGAGACTGTGCCTGCTGTGAGCACAGATGTGTGGGTGAGCCTGCAGAATGGCTTTGGGAGTTTTCTGAGGAGCTAGTCCCTCTCAGTCAGGTGTCACTCTCTTCATTCGGCCTCACTCCCAGGCCGAACCCCAGAGGAACAGATTCAGGGAGAGTGGTCCTACAAGTTAAGTCTAAACATAAAACTAAAACCACAAAACTCAGGCTACTGGGCTGGCTGGTACATCTCTAAGCCTTCAAAGAAATATTTCCCACTTTATTAAATTGAATCTGTTTATAAATGATATTTGCAAAAGGGGCAGGGCAGCGCTTAAAATTCCTCAGTCGTTTTAAAAGCACACAAACCTCTCTCTCTGGCTTTTCTCCAGAGCTGCAGGTGGGCACACGGCAGAAAGAACTGCTGGACATCGACAGCTCCTCCGTGATCCTGGAAGACGGAATCACCAAGCTCAACACCATCGGCCACTACGAGGTAAGGACTGGGCTCAGCCCCTCGTCCCCTTCCTCATCGCCAAGCCCGACTGCATGAGCTCATCCCTGGGACCTTGTAAATTCTTTTAAAAAATTACGGGATGCCCGGCCACTCTTTGGAATAGTTTGGGGCAGGTTTCCTCAGTTGCTCTCGTGGCCGCTGCTTCCTCTGGGTTCCCCGCTCCAACGCTCTGACTCCAGTGGGCCGATCGCTCTCCATCCTGCCGTTTAGGTGAGAAACTCCACCTTTTCGAGTCTCTGGCCTCTCAAAGCTGGTCCCTCAGCAGAGCCCTAGAGGAGGCATGTAGCTTGACAAAGCCTCCTGCTCTCCGGTGTGCGTGGCAGACCACGGGGCCTCTGGTGTAGAGTCCTTTTTTCTGGAGAAGCTCTGCATGTCCTGTGTGTGACAGTGAGCGATACCTCCTTTGGCCCCTGAACCACCTGCTCAGGGGGTGTCCATGTGGGTGAGGGGCACACGTGCCCGCTCAGAGACCTGAGTGCTAGAGATGCCAACACAGAACAAGAGAGAGGAGGCGGGGAAGGTTCCTGAGCACACTGGGATATTGGAAGTCATTCAGCAACATAATCCAAATCTTTGTTGAATACCTACTGTGTGCTAAAAGCCCGGGATGCTTCCATGAGGAACAGAGCCCAGGTCCCTGGCCTCACAGATCCTGCAGCCCTGGGGAGGGGTGGAGAGGGGAGAGGACACAGGTAATGAGGCAACACCTTACGTTGGAGGAGGTGCTGAGGCTTGGAGCTGGGAAGGAAGCTCCGACCGAGCTGAGACCTGAGCCTAACCAGCCGGGGGTGGGGTGCTAGTGCACCTGGCGGGGATGGGAGCACATGCGTGTTCTCCCACCAGACTTTAGACTGGAGGGGCGGCACTGGAGGTAATAACAGCCAGCCTTTCTGGAGCCCTTCCTCTGTGCCACGTGCTCACCTTAGCGTTTCTCCTCATTTCGGCTCCTCCTGTCTTACAGCAGTTCCATGAGTTGGTATTGTTATTAACCCACTTTATAGATGGGTACAGTGAGGCTCCAAGACTCACCAGTGGTTACAGTGGCAGAGTCGAGACTTTGACTCCGGCATTTGGGCTCTTGGGTCTGTGGCTAAACCAGTTCACACAGCGGCCTCTGTGGGAGGGGTGGAGGGGTGGCAGAGGTGAGAAGGGAGGTGCATGTCACATGGGCCCAGCCAGCTTCTTCAGGGTCTGAATCTTACCCCGAGAGTAGTGAGGAGGCACTGGAGAAGCCTAAGCAGGGCGAGTTGTGTTTCAGAAAATGACTGGCTGTGTGTGGCGCGTGGATGTTAGAGATGTAAACCTGGAAATAGGGAGGATTCCAGGTGCGGGAAGATGCTGACTGGAAATGACAGTGCTTCTGGAGATGGACGCAGTGGGTGGGTTCAGAGACGGCGGGAGGTGGATACCCGCCATGAGGGTGGGAGAGAGACACGGGGACGGATGGTCGGGATGGCCCTCGGGGGTGGCAGGGCAGAGGCATGGATGTGGGGCTCTTTCAGGGATGAAGAAGCCAGAGGAGCACCTGGAGGGCTGGTCGTGCCTCCTTCCCCCTGCGGCTGACAGTCCCAGATGGACACGTCCACCCTGCCATTCCGACAGCAGGAGGAGCCGAGAGTTCCTCAAGCTGGGCTTCTGGACGGCAGCCAGGAGCAAGACCGCCCTGTCCGGGGGCCTTGCTGTGGGTCTGTTTGGGGTAACGGCCGAGGCGGCCGCGCTGGTGCTGCCCCGGAGGGCACCCAGAGAGAGCTGTGGGTTAGCCCACACATGTCAAACACAAGGCCCGCGGGCCAAATCCATCCCGCCAGGCCTTGCAATGTGGCCCGCACCGCGCTGTCATCACTGCACTCCGCTGTGTTCCATCACAATGACAGTTTATGACTGTTCAGTAAACCATTCGGCCCGCGATTTAGGCTGGATTTTAGATTTTGGCCCCTTCTCTGATTGAGTTTGACACCCCTAGTTTAGCCACTGGCTCCCGTGCTCCCCTCCGGCAGCTCCGGCCCTCCAACCTCAGAATCCACTTGTCAAGTGTAGGCCGTGACCTTGAGATTACAGAAACCCCAGGGAACTTTCTGGAAGCACATGTCCCCTCGGGCCACACTGGAAAAGCACTGCCCCCGAGGAAGAGCTTGGGGAGGATCTCGTTAGGGCCCCGGGGTGAGCTCAGGTTGCAGACCCTCAGCCCTCTCATCCTCTGCTCCCTCCTCAGTGCCCGCCCGTCTCGGCAGGTTGGGAGGAGCACAGCCCCCTCTCCTGCTTTTGACTGATGTGTCTGCCTCCCTCAGCGGTGCGTGTGCGGGGAGAGGGGCACCTGGCCAGGCTTCTAGGTCTCCCCTGGCAGGGGGTCGCCCCTCAGGGAAGGGGGTGTGGCACTCACCATGACGGAGGGAAGACGGGACCAGCCATGGGGCCGGAAAAGGAGGATCCACCACAGCTGTCTGCTAGGCCCGGGGAAGGCTGTCGGGAGAAGGGACATCAGTCTTCGCTGGAGACATCGGCCGTGCCAGACACCTATCTGCTTAGGGATGATAATGGAATTAATCTGGCCTGTAGTCACTTCCCGTCCAGATGATTTATCGGCCTCATACCCCGGCGTCACCACGCGGTGGTAATAAATGGCAAGATGAGGACACAGGCTTTAAGGATTCTCCTGGTTTAAAGCCTGAGCCAGGAGGAAAAGGCACCGCGCTGAGGAGCGGAGGCATCGGCCCGGGAGCTCTGTGTGTGGGCCGCCTCACGGGCCCTGTGTTCCGGAGACCGCTCAGAGAGCAGCCCCGCCGCCACCCCGGGCCCCGAACCTGACCTTGGTTCAGTGGCACCCTGCAGGCCCAGAACTCGGAGTAATCTGACAGGGCTGGCTGACGCCCGCTCCTTAAAGGAAAATTTCTCCTGAGCACTCGTGTTTCCCTCCAAAGCGACGAGTTGCTAATTATCACTCTTATTCATTTACTTAAGTGCCCTAGTTTGAGTCTCACTGTAAGTGCTTGAAAGCAAAAAACTGTATTTTATTGGAAAGTGGTATCTAACCCAGAGTTTCCAGAGACGCAGAGTCACCTCCCCCCAATCAGCCCGAATTAGGATTTAAAGTTCGTCAGTGAGGCCGGCGCCGCCTCCTGTCTGAGCACAGGCCCCCGGGCCTGAGCCTGCTCCACCGCCTGGCTCTGTCCTGGGCCCACAGCGGGGGCTGGGCCCCTCTGAGGGAGGTGCTGTCCGCATGTTTGAAGAGCAGGGCACCTGAGGGCACAGCCAAAACAGCCTCTCCTGGGCCAGGAGCCCGCAGCCTCCAGGCCCTATCACCGCCCTGGGCATCGGCACAATCGCTTCCCGAGGTGGTAACAGTGGCAGCTGTGCCCCCACCGTTCGTGTGCATGAGCCCGATCCATGGTCACAACCACCAGCTGATGAAGGCGCTTTTATTACCCTCGGTTTCCATCGGAGGAACACAGAGGGGTGCGATTCTGTTCCTGTCTCCCTGTGTCCTGCGCAGACCGTGTGGGGAAGCTGACAGCCTATAAATGCATTAAGCCCGAGGCATCCTTCTCCCTGTCGTTACGCGCCCCTCCCCATCCCCCCCGCGTGCTTCTGTTCCGGATGAGGCGGGTGCGGGGCGCGTGTTTCCCACGGGGGGACCACACCGTGTTTGGGAGCACATGGACCTGAGGGAGCTGGAGACAGCTCTTTGGTCCCGGCCTTCTTCCCTTCACCTGCACTCCCCCACCCCCACCACTCTACCCCAGGGCCCTTTTGCTGTCCCGAGTCATGGCACCCACACCCTGCTGTGGAGCAGCTTTGAGTGCGGAGGGCAGAGCTATGTTGGGCAGGAAACCTTCTCTGCAGATCGCACCCCTCATTCTGAGCTGCGAGGTTTTGAGGGGCAGAAAGGGCGTCCAAGCACCATGTTGTTGAAGAGTTCCTCAGGACAGGGGAAGTGGTCGCTTCGCTGCTGATGCCGAAGCTGTCACGCAAACGGCATGGAAAGCTCCTGGGCCTGCCCCCCAGGCCTGCTGAGTCCTGGCGGTGAGGTGTGTCCTCTGGCACTGGAGTGAAGGGCTGGACTCTCTCTTAAGGCTTCTGACAGCGTGAGTGACTTTCGATGTTTGTGTAAGGAATGTGTGCACTGCTGCTTGTACACTGAGCACTGTTCTAGGCAGATACTCTCCTCATTCCCATGCTGAGGCACAGAGAGGCTGAGACACTTGGCCGAGGTCGCACAGCTCTCCTCACTGATGCCTCAAGGCTAGAAGTGGATGGAAATGGCCTTGCACTGAGACTGCTCTTCTCCGGCCAAAGGGGTCCTCTTGCTCAGAACCAGGCTTCAGCCAAGCTCCCGCCGCAGGCCACCTGGCTGGAGAGCTGGGCCCATTCAGGAGAGGCCCTGGTCGTTACCTTTTCTGCTGTCTTAACTTCTCTCCATAAGCTAACCTCTCTCCAAACCTTCATAAGCTAACTTCTCTCATAAGAAATCATAAGCTAACTTCTCTCCAAACCTTCGATGAACCTCATGCCTGTGGGTTTATCGGAATGCTTCCTTATTTCTAAGCCCACTTTACCATCATTCCCTGAAGACGCCATAGTTGCCTTCATCAGAAGGGAGGCCTCCTTCAGGCCCCAGAGCTGACCAGGCCAGCCCCACAGGGGCACGGAGCCCTGAGGGTCCCAGTCTCGCACTGCCAGAGCCTCACTGCCTCCCGGGGCCCAGCTCAGGGCCCAGCTCAGGTTCTCTCCAGGCCTCAGAGTGGGTGGCCGCCTGGCCCGGGCTAACCCCAGGCACAGAGAGAGCGTTTTCACATGTTTGAGGACCCTTTGGAGCCTGTCAGGCTGTCAGGCGCTGTGTGTGTGGCTTGATGTGTCTGGTGAGAATGCTCTGATGAGCCCAGCCTCCCACCCCACCACGAAGGACGGAGCAAGGTCACCCCTCTGGCCCTGAGAGAGAAAGATTCCTTTTCATCTGCCTCCGGCCTTGGAGTGTCAGTGAG